CATATTTGGTTACCAGTGTATGATCTGCAAGAGTTTAAATTGGGTAATACGGAAAAGATTGATAGAGTCTGAGACTGGATTATTCAAGCACTTCTTCAAAAAGCACTTTCTTGCACCCTGACTTACTGATGAAGGCTGGAGACAAAGCAGGAAAGGACTGTTAGAGCAAAACATTTCTTTGAAATTTGCTTTGTATTTGTGAGGTTGGGTGGCATGTATGAAAATGCACATTTGTTTCCAAACAATCACAGATTTATTTCCAAATAAATACAGATTTATTCAGTCCAAAAGGAGACAACTCAGATTTTTCCTTATGCATCATCCACCAAACTAAAAACTCATTGCCATGAAGTTGTAACTGACTCATATCTGACCCTTAATTGCACTTTGGAGGCTGTGAATTGCATCAGAGAAGATTGCCCATCTTTCTCCCACAGAGCAGGTGGCGGATTTAAACTACCAGAGATGCCCATCCTTGGGTTGCAGCATAACTCATTATGGTCTCTACTACCAAAGCTCCCTGCTAAGCAGCAGAAGATTGTATTAAAATTTGCCAGTGTTTAAATCTGGCAGTAATTTTCTGGATACATTTGATGAGTTATCTTCCAAATTCATCAACTCTACCTGAGAATAAGTAGAGTCCCTAAATTGTCTATGAGGAAAACCATATGAGAGCATCTTCCTTCTACCCACCCCACCCCCCAGTTTAAACCTTTAAAAGTCATACAATAGCTACAGGAATTAAAAAGCTAAAGGAAATATCCAAGGCTCTCATAACTTCTGTTCAATGAAAACAACAGTGGTATAGAATGTAAAAGGCATCGAGAGAAGTCTCAGCTTAAGGAGTCATGCTACCAGTTGCCGTAGAGAACATACAAGAAAAGCACAGCCTTTCTAAGTGACACAGTATGATTAGAATGCTTTTCAGCGCTTTTTATTAAGTAACTTTTGTTGGTTGCAGAGGGTTTAATTTTAGATCTAGATTTTTACTATATTTTACCCCTGATGCCTAGTTAATTACCACCTCCTCCTTTCTTTTGGGTATAATAGGAAGACTCAATGTTGTGAAAATGGCAATACTACCAAAAGCAATTTACACATTTAATGCAATCCCAATACAAATACCAACCCCATTCTTC